TAAGTGGGAGAACTTGCACAACTGGTGGCTGACTAAATACTTTTTTGCCCCACTGTATATAGATAGATGAATTTCATCTTTCCCATTAGTATAACTCTACACGCTTCTGTGACATTCAGTAACATAATTATTTTTACTCTGTTCCAAGCAGCCTCCAAAAACATTTTTCCTTATATCTACTTTCCATTCATTTGGTTTGGAGATTAATACATGAATACTTTGTCATATAGAAATCATAGTTTTTCTTCCAGAAATCACTCTTTCATCCTCTCCTCCCCTCCCCTCTCCTCCCCCTTCCCTTCCCTTCCCTGTCCATTCTTCCCCAGATCCATTTTTAAAAGTACCAAATAATGGCCTGTCCAAAATTCAAACTTCTCATCACCCTTACACTTTTCATAATTTTCTCAACCTTTCATCAAAATCAGATCAATCATGCTTTTAGAACCATTAATTCATTATATCACCAAAAATACCATTTGTATTTATTTAATTAATTAATCAATTTGTATGGCTGCCCATCTCAACAAGTGACTCTGATAAAATTAAAACAATTATAACCAACAATGCAAAATTTAAAATACATAGCAGCTGAGGAAGGTATAAAAATTGCCTGTTGCTACCAAATTTCAATAATATTATATTGGCAGATTCAGCAGATCATAAAAATGGATCTAGGAGCTGCATGCAGGCAGTAGTTTGATCCCTTCTGTCTGAATGAAGCTCTATCGCACCTTATGTGTACAGAAGGGCACCTTAGCATTCATTCCATTGATAGTCTCGACAGTAAATCCCAGACTGTATGTTTTAAGAAAGCTGGTAGCAATAATCAGACCAAAATATTGTGATTAAGGATAAAGACTACCTCTAAATTTTACAACATTAAGAGTTGTGTTTGTTTCATCTCTTTATCACCTAGAATCTCTTTATGTCCCAAAACTGAATTAACTCAGATTTAAGTCTTTTATAGGAATAGAAGTTGGATTCAAACTTTGGACGATTGTTCTGTAAGAAAAATTGTTATGTAATGTATTCCTTGATTCATTCAGTCCAATGAAAAATAGGCAGGTTACTCAAGATTTTTTAGAATTTAGTGTAATATTTATATGTTATTTTTCTGATTAAAAAACACAACAAAGTTGTTATTTAGAGATACCAAGGGGAAGAATTCTGATAGGATGCACATTCTTTTTTATTTCAGAATAAATCCAACACCCCAAGTGAGAGCAATCTTGCTCTACTCTGTAGTGGTTGGACATCTGACCTGGCCGCTAGGAATCTGGGACAAGATGACAGCATCCTCACTGAGAAGCAGCTTCTTCCATCACCAAGGAAACATGTTCCTTCTAGTGGCAGTGGAGAATCTCTCTTTGTGCTAAATAAAGAAAACCCTAACCTTACCTCCAGTGTTGACAACATGGCCTTGCTTAATAATCACTCAAGATCTTCAAACTCGCCCCAAGAAACTATGCAGACTCATTCTCCGGGAACTTTGCAAATGAGTAAATGCAATGAAACACTAAGCAGGACCTCTGCAGATGAGATGTCACCAAGCTTGAGCCCAAATCCATCCTTCCTAGTTCCATGGGAGAGGGAAACCCAAGATGGAAATGAAGTCCTTGAAGAGGGTAGCCTTCTTCATGAAGTAGTATCATTATGTAAACTGACTTCTGCTTTCAATCAAGGTTTAAACATTTCAGGGGACAGGTTTTCCAACAGCAGTGGGAATAAAACGTAAGGATTTTTTATTTGTTTTGGAGGGGAGAGATTACATGCCTGGTCAATGACTAATGGAAGACAACTCAGGATTTTGTATCATAACAAAGGAAGTTAAAGATCTTCAGTGTTTCTAATCTTTAGTTTTGGTTGGTGTTATTTGTGTATTTTTACCGTTTTATTTTGAGCCTATCTCCTTTGAATATCTTTGCTCCATTTAAGTTCACAATATAGGCTTGAATTTGGGGTGGGGCCGTAACAGTGTTTACAACATATGCTTGGCATGCAGACAGTTACAGCTTCACCTCTGGGCATTTCCAGTTCTGTCTGGGAAATGTCCTGTCTAAAAACCTGAAAGTCACTGCCAGTCAGTGTATGCAATACTGAGTTCAGACAATATGCCATCTTAACTAAAGCATTCTAGAATCATGGTACTAGCTTGATTTCACATTTAAGCTGCAGCTGGTCTGTGGCATGGAACAGTTTTTATCATTTCCTTTCCGTATATGCAAAAAGAAACACATCAGACACATACATTTATCCTTCTGCAACACAAACCAAGATGTGTAGCATGACTTTTCTGGAACTTAGTCCATGATCTGATTGCCTTAAACTTAGAAGGACATATTTAAGTACCTTAAAGGCTGAACTGTAAATATTTGGGAAAAAGAGCCACCATTATTTCATAGCAAAAAATGTGCTTGAGTAAAGGGAAATACAGACCATTTACCAAACAAGGGGACTCTTAAGATTATGGATAATCACTAGTGTAGCCTTGTTTATGCAGTGATTTTAGTAATCCTTTGTTAAATGGGACATGTGATGGCTATTCACACTGTCAAGCACTACCCATCAGTAAGGTGAGAGTTCTAATATGTATCTGTGCCACTTGAATTGACACCAGTTGATAATGATTGCTTGGGATTTACTGTAAAATATGTTGTTGTTTTTTAAGTCTAGCAGACAATGCCCCTGTCTTCCAGACCCTGAAAAATGGTACTGTATTTTGAAATGGTGAAATGCAGTGAAAAGTTTACAACTCTTTTCAGAGCTTATTCACTGAGTATATTTTACATTTTAGTTTTCTTAAAATACATATTTTGAGCACAGCTGGAATTTTAATGGAATGAACCTTTGAAAGATGTAATATTTTTAATTGAAACTAATCTCTTCTTCTGGAAATCATGCCTCTTTAATATGTTTTGTAAAGTCATTGGGTTGTTTTAAATGTGCTGCTTAATCAACCTTTTTTTTTTTTAGAAAACAAAGAGACAGTTGCAGTAAAAAGAGAAATATGGTAGTCTCATGGTGCAAATCCTTTTCTGGTTATAGGCAAATGAGTCAAAGAACCACCCCAACCTCTAGCATTTAGGTTTAATTTTTTTAAGAGGCTGAGATCCATCTATTACAGTGTCCTTACCAACCATTGACAGCTTTTTGAAGTTGTCTTCTAAAGAATCTATCTAAAAATCAATCGTCTGGTACACATATATGAATGTCTAAAAGCTCCTTCAAATTTGTCATTAGATCAAATACTTCGGAAATTGTCAGAAGTTGTTTCCAGATATATATAAAGCAGCTAATAGACTTTTAGATCAATTGAATGTAGAAACTGTCCTTTTTTTTACAGCACCTATTTTCTGAGATGTAAGGTCCTCTCTTTATTGTACTGGAACCTTTCTTTCGTTCTCCAAGTCTGAGGTTTATCCAAAACACGTTCCACAGTCTCACTCATATATGAGTTTCCTATTCAAAAAGTAGAAAAACTGTCCATATGCAAACTTTCCACTGTGACTATAAAGTGCTTCTTCAAAAGAGAGAGAGAATGGTAAATCCTGCATGGATATCTCTATGAATCTTACATAACAAGGGGATGGGGTGGGGGGAGCTAAAAAGCTTTGTCTAGTAAAGTTTGCAGGTTTTCAGTGACTTTCATGGTTAGTGAATGTGCTTTGAGATTCCATCTAAATGGAATTCTTACATGGTAGATTATGTATTGATGAGACTTCTTGATGAACTTTTGAAATACAACTTTCTTTGATGTCTGTCTGAACTTACACCTATGCCAGAATTTATCATACTTGTCATTTTTTTAAGGCTAATAATTGTGCCTTAAAAATGTGTGCTGTCCAGTTGCCAGCTATTTTTATTATTAACAAAAAGGATATTTATGCCCAAAGGATCAGAGTAGCAGTTTCTCAAACCTTTAGCCAGCAACTGTTCTGTTTTCCACCAGTTATAGTCTAAAACTCTCTGTAGAGGCCACGTAAGTAATTTTGATGATTACTGTAGTGTCAGGAATATTATAGTTCCCATGTATGGCTGATTTTACCTATTTTGTAGTCATTGCTTCAGGGAATTCTAAATTACTGTTTTTAGTATGGTGAGAATTTTTTAAAAAATATTTTTTTAAATATTTCTCAGGAATCCCAGCAATTATTTCTGTTGATCATTCAGTTCCTTCTATAAAATATTGGATTATTTTACTGAAATTTAGCTTATTTACTCAATACCATTAGTCTATCTAAAATCTGAATGGACAGCCTGGTGTTCTCAAGATGTCTGGGACTTTAACTCCCATTAGACCAGCCAGCATCGCTAGTGGAAAAGATATGGGGGTTGTAGTCCAAAACAGTTGGAGGGCAATAGGTGGCCTGTCCAGATTTAAAACAAATAATGTACTGTGTAGTCACACAAATGATTAGTTGACATATTCAAACTTACTTTTAACAGACAATATAAAATTGCTGTTAATTGCTTTATACCCATCATGGGTTTCATCAGATGTGCAAAAAGGAAATCTGTTTAGACCTTCATCCTGTATCCCAAGTTAAAAAGTCCTGGCAGCATCTAGAATGGTTGCAGAGAGATCTACCACCAACAGCTTTCCTTACCTAAATGACTTTTCCAAGAATGGAGACGATTGTTCTGAAGGAGCAACCACTTCAGCTTAGAGTTGCTTATGCATCTTATGGATGAGAGATTACTTTGCTATCACCTTTCCAAATCCTCAGATACATGCCCTGTGCCATGATGGGCCTTTGCTACATTACAGAATTTAAAATTGCTTAAACTAGAAAAATAGGTGTTCAGGTACTTCTATGCACATAGAGTCACGTGAAATAATATGTTGTCACATACTGTAAATGATACACAAAGAAATTAAACCCTTGTAATAAGACCCATTTTGATGAATAGTAGAAGTAATGAGAAAGGTGGTAGTTTTTTTTAACTGACTTTTTAAATATTTCCCTAGCATTTCAAAAAGTGATATTACTACTTTTTGATCGCTGAGTTAGATTATCAAAAGCTGTCAGTACTGGCTAAGTTTGCTTCCAAAGATGTCAACAGTGATTTTCCAATTGATTGAATAGACGGCTTGCACTGATGAGCACCTTTGAAAATGTTAATTTTCATAGACTAGATAAATCCATCAAGCAATACTTATGCATAAAACCTGTTAATATTGTTTTAGCAGTGCTTAAAGAATTATACCTAAGTTGCATTAGGTAAATTAGATGAAACAAAACAAATATTCCCTTTTATTCATTGTGCCATAGGTCAGTTGTATATTTAGTAGTTTGTATTGAGCAGGGAATGAAAAATAGTAATATGTTAGTTGCCAGTTAGGTGAGTAATAATCTCTTCCTAATATTAGTGCTCATTTCGTAAGTGATTCCAGGCTTCTCCTTAGCTAAAAAATTAGAAAAGTATTTATGTCATTGGAAGCTTTTTCTTATATATCTTTGCTTCTAATATAGCAACACTGTAGATGCCACTGTTAACCCTGACACTTGTTTTCTCTGTAGAATGTAATTCAGAAGTCAGCCTTTTCAATAACAGGCATCAAAACTTTAAAAAAAAAAAAACTTTTAAAATAGCCAAACCATAAGAAAATTGCCAAACCTCACAGGGGTTCAGCATTCTTATCCCTAAGATCTTGTGAGATCTCATGTGTGAAGACTGCCATTTTTAAAAAAATGTTGGGGCACCATTTCAGGGTGCCTTGCTACCAATCCTTGGTATAATTCAAGGAGAAGAAGGAATAAAATGGGCAACTGTCCTCCTAATCTGTTGTTATGGGAAAGGTAAAGACTACAGCATGCATTCAGGCAATTGCCCCATGATGGCTGGGTATGGTGGGAGTTGTATTCCATTATGTCTGGAGGACACAGTCTTGAGGAAAGCTAGATCAGACTTTAATTCACAAACAGGACTTTGGCTGGCTTTGATGGATGTACCAATAGAAGATATAATAATAATATATCATATCATATAATAAGATAGAAGAATAGAAGATGTATAGAAGAATGGATGTACTGTTCACTTTGTCCAAAGAAGAAGGTAACAGTTTTAAAGATCTCACTTCCTGGAAAACAACAACAACAAACCTATGCTGAATTCAAATGAGCAATCACTGTCTGGCTCCTAAAGGAAGGTAAACAGTCTTGGATTTGTTCTTTTAGCTTTTTTTTTTTTTTGGCTTTCACTTTAATTTACCTTGGTGTCACTAGGAGCCATTTCTGTTCTTCTTCAAGCAAACAAAGGCTGAAGTTCTTGTGGCTTACGTGAACTTAAAAGGATGGCTGTCTGTGACAGAAAATTCCAGTGGTGCTTTCTTCTGCCCAAGTTCTCATAACTCTTTCAATCTGGGGATAAGGGATAGGTTGTGTGGTTATCTCCCCCCTATTTATTTCAAGTAGCTTCATGTAAGACATCGCCTTGCTGGATTGTGCTCCCAAAAGTTGATTTTGTCTTGTTCCAGCCAACCATCCTTAACAGCGCTCCATGTCTGCTGCTGATATGCCCTTGTCCTCTTGTCTTATAGGGGGGTTGCCTCTCTGCAAGGTATCAAAGTAAGGAAAGGTGTTTAAGTGCCTCTTCTCTATCCCTCCTCCCTGGGCAGTAGGGGTTCATAATACCCAAAACAATAGATTGTTTTTCCTCAAGAACCTAAAATAATGTTTTAGTAAAAAGCCCTTAAGAAATTTACCACTTACTGACATTGGGACAGGCTTAGTGGAAATATGGGTCTTGCTATTTTCTGTGCCATATATAGTAAGGCATGAATATGTCATGATTTACTCTTCTCATTTTAAGTCTAGAATCAGTATTAATTGGGGGGGGGGGTGGAGAAAGAGAAGCTAATGTAAACTTCCAAACTGAAATACTGATTCTTTGTAAATGCTTTCTCTCTGCTCTGCCTTCATCCCATCTCAGATATAAGTAAAGCATCAACTAGGATGTGAGGGAAAGTGCTGGATTAAAAAAAAAAAGGCATTGGATTTTGTGCAATATTTTTCCTTCCTTATATTTGTGTGTATGCATGTATGTGTTTTGACAATTAGAAGCATCTGTTTCTTTCTCAGTAAGTCTTTGAGATTATTTTTCACCCTGGTGTATTTCTGTTTTGTTTCAGGATTGTGTTAAATTGTGCATAGCACCTCATTACAGTTGTCTAGTAAAAAGAAGTACAGTACATTGTCAGTGGGCAAATAGTTTTTAGTTGATTGAAATTGAGTAGGGACATCTATTATTGTGTTATAATGCAAATCATAAATGTTGCCAATTACTTAATAGATATCAGAAGCTCACAGTTAGCAATACCTGTATTGCCCACATTACATTATAAGTACACAGCAGAATAGGATTTCTGTTAATTTACTTGTACTTGTTGATCCTCATGTCTCACTGTTCTTTCAGCTTGCAAATAAATGGCTGCTTCTTACAATTGATGCCAGATGGCAGTGAACGGTCAATATGTATAATTTTTATGATCCAGCGTGTGACATCTCTAGTTGTGATAAGTGATTGCTCAGTTCAATAGATGTCACCAGTACATTTGAATTGTTTGTTCGATTAGCTTTTATATATTTGTTGTATATTTTCTTCCCATGGCTAAAAGTTGATCAAGAGCTACTTTGAATTAACTTACTTGAGTTAACTGAAGCACTGTGGAATCTAGCCGATTGCAAGTTGCAGATAAGCACTGTGATAAATTTGGTGTTCCATACCATGTTCCCTGTATTGCAATAGGTGTGGTTGCAGAGTGTACTTTACCTGTGCTACTGCCTGTACATAATTTCATTGATGCAACGCAATTCTATATTTATGAACTTTTATCTTGAAGAAGAGAATGTGGGGAAAAAAATATCTCCGATTGAACAGAGCAAATCATTCAGAGCCTGGCTTATTATTAAAAAAAAA